GAACGTGCAGTTCTGGCCATAAATTCGGACAGGGAAAACATCTGGCTTAGGTTTTGCATGTCTCGTTGGTTCGAGGATGTAAGATCGAGGGAGGGAGGAGCTGAAGGCCAAGTCTTCTATTATATATCCAAGCCCCGGCGAAGGTGCTGTCGCATGAGGAATGTGTACTGTACAATGCCTGCCAAGGGGAGGAGAAACTCACCACTCTATATACTCGAACGCTTTCACATATGTCAAACCCCTCACCTTCCTCATTCTTATCTCATCAAACCTCCGTTCGTGCAGAAGAAAATAGAAGTACGCGTCCTCCCCTCGGTGACCAGCCCAGATAGAGAAAGCGAAGCCGAGGCCAAGCGGTAGACTTGGGCAGCAACAAGAAAGATAGACATGGACTAAACCCTCCTCAACAAGGTCTCAGAATAGAGAAGTGAAATGATCCATCGCACAGCAAGGCGCAATTCCGGCCAGCGAGTGTGTATCGGTATCTAGGCATTCGCAATGAACACGATAATTTGAAAGTCCATTGAATTCCCCAGCCATATTAAACCGCAGCTTGGTTTTTTCGGGAACTCCGCAAGCACTATCAGCCTCATGGCATTTGATCGCCTCAGGCTCTTTTTCCTTTTTCGTTCCGGGTCTCCCGCAGGAATTCCAGGCTACGGCCATACACGGTTGGTAATGTGCTCAGCATGAGAATCCTTATCTCATAACCTGTTCCAACACTTCTCGAGGGGTATTCTGCTAAATATATTTCCGGCAAGCGGACCCCCGTGATATCAGTCACACGTAACGACAGCAATACCGTACAGCATGCCCCCTCACGCAAGCTGTAATGAGTGGCCCGTTCAGAGATGGGTTGCGGAGCAAACGATCATTGACGTTTCCATAGCCCGGACCCGAAGTGAGACCGAGACACCCAGGACAACGCTAGTCTATATAAGTTAATATGGCACTATGCCGCAGTCGGCTACCTAGCCGAGCTTCACCGATTGGATTAAAAGGATTGAATGCTTGTGCCCGTCCCTGTGCTAAGGCCACCCCCATCGTGAGTTCTTTGGGTAGACCGAAGCCTGGTCTGTGAATCCAAGGTGCAAACAAGGTAGGGAGGTCCCGTGGTGTGTGGAACCTGATCTTGATGCGGTACTACAGTGCTGCACCCGAGCCTACCCCCTGCCTTAAGCGACCTTAGCGAAGTCTCCCAGGCTACCACAAGTTATTGTATCCAACCATCTCCATACCGCTCTATCATCACGGCATCATACTCTTCTTCTCCTAACCATCCTTTACCATCGTTTATCCACAATGAGCAACCCTTCCACTGCCGTACCGCACTTTGCCGTAAATATGGAACAACAAAAACAGAGGCACTGATAACCTCCTCCAGAGAACCCTGTCACGAGGGCAATTGGCCATGTGAAATTACCGGTACGAGTAGTGTCCTAATAAGCAGGAACCCCCCCCCTCCACGCAAGCCAATCAACACTCACTATCATAGCAATACTGCTCCTGCTTTTCCAAGTTTACCCCACTACCGATTACCCTATTGTGAGCTCATAAAAAAATCGTAGAAAGCAAACCCGATAGCCGGAGGACATATTGCCGAAAACGAGGGTTTGCAGCGTCATGAATAACCCATTCCACGGATTCCTACCTCTATAAAGGGCTGCCCGTGGTCGAACCCCTTCCGACTTGTCTCATTCACCTCATGCACCATTAACCGATACGGTACTTTTGCCCTGCATCAGGCGGTTCACCTCACCTCCCATCATTCCTATCATCATGTTGGTTGGGTTGGAGAATGACCAAGCCCGTCAATAAAACAGAGTTCCAAACCGGTGCTGGGCTAATAATCCTTGAAATTGTGAGCCCCTCGCCTACAAATCGGTTCCGATTCCTTCATCTACCCGTATTATCTTGAATAAGGGAGAATTGTCTCAGGACGTTTGAGTTTCCTCTTTTGACGGGACGGGAGGAAATGCCAGCAAAACAAACAACGCCTTACCTAGAAGGGAAACTTAAACGTCCTAAGACAATTCTCTCTTATTCAAGATAACACGGTGCGGTACTGTGACGCCCATTCTGGGCTTGAAACATACCGGTAGTATTGGGTGCACTTATGGAATGCACCTTATACTCGAGTAGGCGTGCCAATGACCATCATAACTTTACTGATGTAAATCCTCCCCATCATTCCTCTACAGATCCTAACTTGGCTGATTTCGCGGCTAACCCCTTACAAAGGATGTAGTACGGTACTGCTGTACAGCACCTTAACCCGAGATAATTGCCTTGCACCGCATCCCAATCTGATCCATTTACCTCATATTACCCAACCAAGTGTTCAGGGCAGTTCTCAGTGCCCCAAGCCTATGAGACGTCTGTTCCTAGCAATATCGAAACGAACTACCCGTTCCCCCTAATCCAGATTTTTACAAACTGTCCCACTTCTATAAAAGCCTGGCCTCTTTTGATACGGCTTCAAGCAAGAGAAAAATTGCCTCCCTCGAGAATCCCGGTGGAATCGATTCCTCGGTCCACCTACAGGCAAGTATCATTATCTCTATAACCCTTACCCACCATTTCACCTCAATTTCTAGGCTAAGGTCCTCAAAGCACCACGGGATCCCACAAGGTCATTTATTGCGAAGTGCGTCCAACAAAATAACCCCAACCACTTGTTCAACTTTGTGGCCTTACTTTCGCAGACACCCGCAGAGGATTATCTTGAACAAACCGAATCCTACGTTCTTAACAGAATCTTTCATAACAGTTACTCTACACCGATCGGAGGATAACCTGCATACAAACTCCCAACTAGGATGGTCCGGTTTATGCAGCAGAGACATCCTCCAATTTTCCCAGCTGAGAAATACACGGCAAACCCAGGGCGTTCGAGCACCAAAATTCTCGTATGGATACCGGTCCTTTATAAATTTAATGGAATGGTTAGTCTACCCCTTGTAAAATATTCGAACACTATTGATCGAGTAGGCTCACCCAGGCATATTCGTTCGCTAATGCACTACGGTCGAGCAGATAACGTGTGCTACCCACCGCGGCGGAAATAATGTAACCGCTTTCCACTCCCACTAATGAAGTATTGTGATAGTTAGCCCCAGGATAATAAATTATGATTGAACTATGCAGAAAGTTAGTCATTTGCCCAAAGGTGTAAGGGTCTTGGCGGG